CCGCCCCCCCCCGGGCGCGGCCGGGGGCCCAGCGCGCCTGCTCCCCGGCTGGGAAGCTGCACCGGCGGGTGGCGCTGCTACTCCACCAGCGCAGGGCGCCGAGGGGCGCAGAGGACGGGGCTCTGTCCCAGGCTGCCGGTGGGCAGAGCAGCGCGGAGCAGCGCGGCTGTCCCAAACACCGGGACGGAGCTTGTGGGGCCAAGGAAGTCGTCCCACTCAAGGGTGGCAGAGCACAAGGCTCCATCAGACGTCCCCGCTGGCCGCACGTCCTGCCAGTATCAGACCTCAAGCTTGGTTTCATACAGCTCAAGGCCCTTGGGGAGGGGGCGTTTCGCTGTGGGACTGAGGTCTGAGGGTCTGGGTAAAGCTACTCCTAACTTCTCCTTTCTAACTTCTCTTTCTAACTTCTCCTTTTCACCCTCCCTTGCCCCAGGGTGAATGTTCTGAGCCCAACAGGGACTGAATCCAGCTGTGGTCTCTGCCCTTTCCTGCTGTCCCTCTGCAGAGGGCTCAGGAGTTAGCAGGAGCTGAGCAGGTCAAGGCAACAATTGAGTAACTTTTCTTTCCTTAGGCCAAATGTGCCATGGTGTCTTTTTTTTTTTTTTTTTTAAACCCCTGTCCACACCACAGGCTTGTCCTCAAAAGATACCTTCACCATCCTTTCTGTTGCGAGTGGCAGCATTTGCCTAGGATGGTGGCACACACAGCAGGGGTCAAGGGGAGACCCAGGGAGCCTGGGATAGCCTTGCTGCCCTCCCAGGCTCTCCAGGCACCCCATTTCACTTCTCTCCCAGCTTAATAGGAACATAAGGACCTCGTGCATGGGCAGTCCTGAGCCAGAAGCACTCAGGGCACCTGCTGCCACATTGGCAGCCAGGTAGATGCTTGTGGGTCTGCCTTCCCTGTGTTTTTAAAGCTTTTCTGTACATCAGTTTGGGTCCTGTTGCTGCACTCATGCATGGCTCAGCAGAGCACGCAACGTTCCCAGCAAAGGCTGTTGCTTCAGCCTTTATTTGGGATTAGCCTGGGCACATGTAGGATGGAGAGCTCAGCACTAACGAACAGAATTTCACCAAGGATGGCTCTGCCCTTCTGCCATGGCATGGGGTTTCTGATCTACTCCTGGCAAGCTTTTTTCTCCGCCATCTATAACAGCTCAATTAGCCTCAACAGAGCTCAGGGGCTTTCTGAAAAGCTGAGAAAGTCACCAGATGTCTCCATCAGCTCCATTTCTAACCAAGTCTCTCCTTGCTGCTGTCCAAGAGCTCCCCATCCATCGGCTGCACCACCAGCAGCCAGCACCCACTGAGCCAGAGGCTTTAAGCTTCTCCATGCTGCATTCAGAGCGCTTTGGGAAGACGAGAGAGGAAGATAGCTCACAGAGCAGTAAAGGAGTCACACCTACCTATCATTAGAGAGGTGTCTCCCATATCCCACCCTACTACAGCTATATGCTGTGTATTGATCTAACAGCCCACAAAATAGAGCAGAGCACTCCAAGCCGTCTGTCTGATGCTGGTGGCCGAGAGCGTGAGTGGGCAGCCAGCCCAGGGGTCCCTGCTGCACCCTGGCAAAGGGCCCAGCCATGCACGTGCCCACCCAGAGGAGACGAATCAGCCAAGGCATAGCACGGGGTCTGGTAGCAGTACTTGAGTTTATTTGTAAACTGTTCTTTGGTAAACAATAAAAACGCAAAAGAGACCAAACGAATGAGAAGATCCCCCCCCCCACAAAAACCAGCCAGCCCGATGAGGAAAATAAAAGTTCACGCCAGCAGCAGGGATTTTAACAGGAAAACAAACTACGGCAAACTAGGGAGAGGGGAAGAAACCCAAGAAGAGCTGCGCTAGCCCCCTGTGCAACGTGTAAGGGTGAGGAAGGGGCCACGGGTGGATGAGGCCATGCAGCGCACCCCTCCCGCGCAGGGGGGGGCAGGCCCCAGGCAGAAGCAGGTGGGCGAACATCGGCAGAGGGCATGGCGAGGGGGGCATAGAGCTCCCGGCCGGCACTGCGGCAGCCGTGATCCCCTCTTCGTGCTCTCTTTCGGCGCAGTGATGGGGTGAAGGGGGAGGACCAGGGAGGAGGAAGAGGAGAGGGAGCACAGGGGACTCTACATGGGGGGCTCATTGCAGAGCACAATTTCCAGTTCCTTGCGGTAGAGTTTGCCCCCATCAGAGAGGTTCATGATGCTCTTCCTGTAGTTGGTGAGTTGCTGGATGTTCATCTCCTGCAAGGAGCGGGGCAATGGGGGCTGTAGCAGCGACTGGCTATGCCCCCACATTTCCCCATGCACTGCCTTGGCCCTGGGCTCCAGCAGACCCCCAGCACCCTCGATGTCCCCTTTGGGTGCTGCGGCCTCTCTCCTGCTCCAGTAAAGCCTCCCTGGTCCCTCAGAGCCCAAATGTGGTCCATGGGAGCTCTGGCTGTATGTGCTGGGCCACAGGACTAGCTTTTATCCTGAACCGAGGGCAACATGGACACAGGGGGTGGAAGATGTCCCCGTGGATGTGCAGAAGGGAGGAGTCCTGCTATGAGCGACGCGGCAGAGAGAAGGTGCAGGGAGCCCGAGGGGTGCATGTTCTCCCTCCCACCCGGCCCTTCCCCACTTACTTTCTTGTTCTTCTCATACAGGTCTTTCAAAAGTGCGTCCAGCTCATTCTCATCAATGAAGCCGCTCCCGTCCTGGCCAACAACGGAGGGATGTGAGCACAGGGAAAGACATGTGCCTGGCAAGCCCACCCCTGGGAACAGCAGCTGGATCCCTGCAGCTGGTTGTGGAGGGCTGCTGGATGCAGCCAGGGTCTCTGCCCTGGTTGCTTGTCTCTCAGGTACCAGCACTCCCTCCCTGCATCAGGGCAGGGAATTGATCCAAAGGCTTTTTTTTTTTTCCCCCCCCGAGCTATTTTTGGCTGGAGCAGTCTTCCAGGTCAAGTTGCTCCCAGTCCAGTAGAGGGGATGGGAAAACTAGGAGACCCCTGGAAAGCAGGTGACCTTCCCCAGAGCCTCCCCAAAACATCTTCCATATGGCAGCAAAGCAGAGATGAGAGGCCAGGGCTCCCCCAGGCCTGTGGGTCACTCCATCCCAGCCTGCTGCTGCTCTGAGCCTGACCCAGCTCACCACCAGCCCAGCGCTGAGAGCCCTCTCCCTGCCATCAGCTCTACCTGATTAAACCTCCTTGTCCTCCTTTCCCGCTGCCCTCCTACCTTATCATAAAAGGCAAAGATAGCATTGAATTCCTCTGATGACAACTTCATTCCCTGGCAAGAGAAACAGATGTGAGGGAGGGGAAAGAGGCCACTGCAAACAGGGAGTAGGAATGGTTTGTTTTATTTATTCATTTTTTTACCTGAAACTTAAGAAGGAAGTTTTCTTGCACAGGCAAAAGTCTGAAAAACAAGAAGGCCAGAGGATGAGCAGGAAGCAACCAGGTCACAATGAGCCAAGTGTCCCAACAGACAGGAAACTGCTGCAGAGCAGGCATACAAGTGCCGTGCTGCTGCGTCAGCCACACACCCAGGGAAGCGTTCGTGGGGCTCAGCGCTCTCATGGCAGCTGCCTGGCCTGGCCGAGCGCTGCCCTGATGCTGCTAGGCGAGAGCTGAGCCAGGTCAGAGCCTCTGCACCCAGCCACAGGTTCCTGCCTGGCACCAGCATTTCTGCAGCAGAAGTCAGATGAGGGAATTGATCTGGCCAAAAATTCACTTCCCCCCCCTCCCTTCTCCAGGTTAGCTTTGAGCCAGATGAGCTTCGAGAGCCGAGTCAGGCTGTGGGCAGGAGGCTGGGCAGAGGGCAAGGCTGCCCCACTCAGTGGGAACGTGGCCAGCGTGAGCTTACAGCATGAGCAAATTGAAGAGGAAAACCTGCTTTCCTCCAGTAGCTAATGTCAAAACAAACTTAGATGTGAACGTTTCGAGGTTTTTCTTCCTTGCCACTTGCTTGTTTTGCACCCCAAATCCTGACAGCGATGCTGATCCGAGGTGCAGAGGGGCAGCCCAATTCGTGGTCCCAAAGCCCCTTTGCATCCCAAAGTATCCGAGGAGACATCCCCACCCTGCGGCCTCCAGCTCTCTTGGCAGGAGAGAGGTCTTACCGGGACATCTCTGAGAGGCCCAGCTTCCCATCTCCGTTCATGTCGAACATCCGCAGCTGTCGGGACACGAGCAGCAGCCAGTTACCCACTGTCTCTTCCCTCCCTCCCTCCCGCAGCAGGGTGGGCAAAGGCAGGGGATCTGGAGCTCGGCCCCAAAAGGTGGCAGGATCCCCTGCAAGGCCGTGCTCGCTCCGTCTGCGGCAGGCTCCTCCAAGGGGTGGTGAGACTCCCATGCCAAGGTAGGAGCAGGGCTGTGCCATGCCATGCCGGGAGAGAGACAGGGCCAGGTACAGGGGCGAGGGTCCCCACTTACGATGGTCTGCGTGTACTCCTGCAGTTTCGGCTCGTCATAGGGCCTATTCGCCTTCTTCAGCAGGTCTGACAAGAAGCCCTGGAAAGAGAGCGAGGCGGTGGCCACAGTGCGGTCCCGCCAGGCTGTCCCTACCCTGGCCGAGCACCCCACGGCCTGTCAGCAGGATCCCAGGGGGCAATGCCCTGTGGGACTGGGAGCAGGCACCCGGCACAGCCCACCAGCACCCCTGGCCTGCGCGCATTCCCCCCCCCGCCCCCAACTCAGCTCGCAGCCCACCTTGAGCTCGTTGGCTTCGATGTAGCCACTGCGGTCCGTGTCGTACCTCCGCCAGGCCTGCGAAGGAGGCAGCACAAGTTTTCGGGGGGGGGGGAGGTTCACCTCCCCCTTCGCCCTAGCCCTGCTCCCTCGAGCACCCCCTGCCACCCTAGCCAGGATCGGGCCATCGCATGGCTCCCATTTCACTGGCAGCCCCAATAGCCATGGCACTGCACGCTCCCCCCAGCTTTTGTCTCGGGAGGGGACGGTTGAGCAAGCCCAGCCACACACCATGGCAAGAATTCAAGCGCGTTATTATCCCCCACAGCGGCCAGTGAGGCAGGGCTTTAATATTTGATTGCATCCCCCAGGTGGACAATAGCATCCGCTTAGCAGCTGCCCTGCAACAGCTGCTCCTCTTTCAGCCTCGGCCAGTGGTTTGGACACAGGGTTGCTTTTCCAAGCATGGCTTGAAAGCCCCCCACTGTGTGGCGCTGCCTGGCAGCCCCCAGCTGGGCTGTGGGAACCACTGACCCAACCCAGCTTGGCCAGGATTTCTCTACCAGGCTGTCTGGGATTGGCTTTGCCCTAAGCACAAGGGCTTGGCAGTCGCAGCATCATCCACCCAAGCCTGGCATGTCCCTCCAGAGCAGGGCAAGGGATGCAGCAGCTGTTTCTCTCACTCCCGAAATGTGGCCAGCCCTGATGTGGGGTGCAGCTGGCAGGGCCAGCACAGCCCATTTATTCAGGGCGCTAAGGACAGACCGCCCCGGCTATCCCAGAGGGGAAATTTAGGGAAGCAGCTATCAGTCCTGGCAGCTCACCTCGGTCTGGAGACTGGGATGAAATGCCCAGCTGCTCTGAAAGCTGCCAGAGGAGCTCAGAGGACTGGAAAAGCCCATCTCCTGCGTCAGGCAGGGGCCGGGCCAGGCCAGGCTTCCCCAGGCACCAATGCCCAATTTGGGCCTAAGGTTTGGAGGAGACCAGGAAGCTCCTGCCCTGAGCCTGGCTCCCGCTCATTTTTCCACAGCAGAGCTGGGTGCCAGAACTTTGGGGACTGAAACATGCTCGACAGGCTGCAGCTGGAAACGGCATAAGGGCAGCATGAGCCCCTGCCCTGCTCACCTCCATGAACTCCGAGCTGGAGCCGACATGCTGGCGGAAACACAGCAGGAAGTTCTCCTCCGTGGGCAGGATCTGAGCCAGCTGTGGGGGACAGTGAGCATCAGTGGGGACCCCCAGGAGCCTCATCTCATCCCAGGAGGAGGACATAGGTCCCCAGCAGGTGCCAGTGGCTCCCTGCTCACCCTCCCAGACACAGCACGAGCCTGTTGCACACAGAGGGAGATTTCTACTTGCTCACGGTACCCCAAAGAAATCACTGCCACCACCAAGCTTTGCCTGCTGTGAAGGCAACCCACTGGCCCTGCAGCCTTGTCCCCTCCGCATGGGGCAGGGGCAGCTGGTCCCTGGGAGCCAGTGTAACTCACCTCTGCCATCTCGATTTTGCCATCTGCATTTTTGTCATACTTGTGCATGAACTCCTTCATCTTCTCCCCAAAGTTGTCCTTCTTGGAGTCCTGCTGGCAAAGAGCAGGCACGGGAGTCAGCTGCATTTATCCTCCCACCACAAACACCCTGAGAAATCAGAGCTGCCTGGGCCATCCGTCATGTTTTTGATTAGGATTCACTAATCCTAATTCACTTGGAGTGATTTCCTTCACTCCAAGTTCCCACTGACCTGGTGGCATGCAAGCCCCTTCCCTGCCTGCAGGGTCTCATGGGCACAGATAACCCTGGAGAGCCAGGTGCTCGGGCTCTGGGAGCCTCCATTGCTGCCAGCCTCATGGCAAGCGAGGGCACTGCCCTTGGCTCGGACGCAGTGGCAAGGTCCTGGGGAGATACCTGGCCAGGACACACCAATGAGACGCATGCTCGCGGCTCGCCGAACCCTCCCTGACTCTGCCCCAGCTCCAGTCACGCTCATCTGGGCCATTCCCAAACGAGACAGCGCCGACGTGAGCCTGAAACAGCAGATGGAAGGGAAGCAGGGAACAAAAATAGGAGAGGGCCTTACCACGCCAGCCCCTTTCCTGGCACTTTCTAGCTCCTGGAAGAAGTTTTCCAGCTCTTTGCCTTCGATGTAGCCGTTTCCTGGGGAGGAAGATGAAACACGAGGTGTTGGTGAGCAAGGGACGCTCTGGGGCAAGGCGGCACGCAGGGCCTCCTCTGTGGCCAGAGCAATGGCCGTGGGGAAGAGGTGCCTACCACCACCACGGAGCATTATGAACCTGGTGATGCCTGCCTGAGTTTGTCAGGAGCCCCAGACAGCTGGGTTTTACCCTAGGGCAGGCACAACCCCAGCTCTCCCCCTGCACACCTCCTGGCTCGTATGCCTCCAGCGTTGGCCATCACTGCTGCGTCAGCAGCACCTGATGCTCTAGTCGGGTGCCTTAATGAACCTTTGCACAGCCCCAAGGGCTGAGGAAGGAAGAGAAGACAGGGCACCTGGTGCGGGGACAGGCCTGGGCACCCAGCACCAGGCACTGAGGGCTCTGAAACATCCCCTTCCCCAGCCGCAGCTTTCTTCTCAGGAAGGCCCCATGGCCACAGCAGGCTCCTCAGCAGCGTCTGGGTGCCTCCCCGAGGTAGCGGGCTGGGCAGCTGGCCCCGCCACCAGCTGCCATCTGCCACACAAGATATACCTAATGGCCTTCACCACTAATATATGTGTCCAGATGTGGTTTCTATGGCAATGGGGCATTCTCTTCGCCTTAATGAAACCGCCACAATTAGTTTCCGGGCAGTCATCTTCTCTTCCAAGCCCGATTCATCTCGGCGCTTTTCCCTATAATTGCTCTTCCAAAGGCTTCTGCACTCAGGGTGCTTTTCTGTGCTCAGGAGATGTAGCAGGAGGAAGGTTCATCAAAGCTCTAATGAAGTGCTCCCTCGGCAGCAGCTGTTGGTTCCTCTGAGCCCCGAGGGGGTGACAGGAGTGACCTGAAGCAGCGGTCGAGCCATGTGGCCACCTTAGCATGGGCTGACAGCCCCTTCTCCCCACGCTTCCTTTTCCACCAGCTTCTGCCAGGCTCCCACATCTGGCAGAGGGAACAGCCATGGCACCTCCTTCCCAGCTGCCTTGGGAGCAGGTCATGCGCACCGAGATGCAAATGAGCTTTTCCTCTTGGACAGAGCTCCACTTTCGCTGTGCTTTTGCATCTGAGGGACAGCAGAAACCAGCTGACCTTGCCTTCTCCATCCCTTCCTCTGCTACCCTCCATCCACCCATCCTGTCCTTTCCCTGCCTGGTCCAAGCTACCCTGAAAGCATGAGGAGGCCAGAGCCAAAAGGCACATAAATGCCTGCTCTCCCCTCCACACCCACCATCGACGCTTGAATATTTCCACACTTACTTTATTCCCATGCTCAGATCCTATAAACTGATTTTTGCTTCTCCCAAAATGCCTGGCAGCACTATTCGTCCTCCTCCTTCACAGCAAAGCGTGCAGGAGAGCCACAGGCACCTTTGAATTTCATTGCAAAAAGAAAAAAAAAAGAGCCATAGGCTTGAGCTGGGAGAAGGATAACCCAAACGAATATCATGGCCAGGAGCTGGATTTCCCCTAAAGCAAGCATCTGACCTGCTGTCAGCAGGGCTGCACTGAGCAGCCCCTCTGGAGAGCTATGGCCGGTCTGTACAGCTGTGCTGCTGACCCCAGAGCCTCCCCGCATTGCGGAGCCCACTGCTGCGCTCTGTCATGTCCTGATTTGCCCAAGTGCCTTGTTCAGAGCTGCAGTCCCTGGGACGGCCAAGCTGCTGCCACAGCCTGCATCTGAGCATGGGGTGCCACACAGCACCCCGGGCTGGCTACTTCCTTCTGCAGCACCCTCAACGCAGGTTTGTGGGATCCGTCAAAGGACCAGCCAGAGGCCTCATGGCCACGTATGGCTTTTTATGCCCCCTTCAGAGCAGAGACTGGTAGCATTGCATGGAGACCTGCCTGCCAGGCATCCATCTCACAAGCTGGTGCCCCCCAGCAGATACACCCTGAGCACATCCCCTGAGCTGATCTGGCAGCCAGGAAAGTGAGGACTTCATCACCTCATCCTTCTCGTGGAGAAAAGCCTTTTCTGCTGCCCAGCAGCGTGGCCAGGGCTGCTATTTCCCCAGCTGCCCAAATCCCCGCATGCCACCTGCTCTACAAAAAGCCCTAAGAAGGGCTCACGGGAGTCATGTGCAAACGGGACCATCTTACATCCCACCTCTGCTTTGGGGCCTGGAAAAGGAGCTGGGGCACCCAGAAACCATGCCATTGGAGAGGTGTGGGGGCGCCTGGTGCCGCAAAGCCAGGCCAGAGAGGAAGGTCACAGCTGTTGGGAGAGCAGATCCCCACACCCGTGGCGGACGGAGTGGGAAGAACCACTTTGTGGTGATGTGTCCCTGTCACAGAGGGTTTTAAGAATAGGCCAGAGCAGGGAGCAGCTTGGACCCTGAGGGGAATTGCCCCCCTTGCCCTGCCTCAGGGCTGCTGGCCAAGTAGGGATCCTGTCTGACTGCACCTTTTGGAGATGACGGAGCACATCCAAGAGCATAGCAGAACACACTGCAAAAGATAGCGTATCCCCTGCCCAGGACATCTCCTTTCCCAAGGGCTATCCCCGCAGGGGGGACAGTCAGCCAGGTGTGGCAGTGGCACCCCGCCCCCCCCCGGGGCCCTGCCACTGCCCCAGCAAAGCCCACGCGCAAGCACTCCCACACCCCAAGCGGGGTGAGTTAGGGGGAAACCCCAGCTCTGCAAGCGGTAACACTAAAGGGTGACTGTCACCCTATGAGCACAGCCACAGACTCCTGCATCCTGCCAAGCTGCAGCCAATAGATGTTCCAGCTACATGACCTGGATCTGGTCCCTGCTCTGGCAGGGCAGGGAACAGTCACCATTCCCTGGGTGCCGCAGGAGGGGCCCAGAACACCCAGCTAGGAGGATTGCACAGCACCTAACAGGCTGATCGCCGACTCCAGCAGCTGGGGATGCCGCGTGACAGCTCCCAGGAGGGCTTGTTGCTGGCCAGCCTTTCCGAGAGCCCCAGCCCCTTCCCTTGCCAAACAGCCCTGGAAGGAGGGGAGGCACAAGGATGGGCAAGAGCTTTCCAAGGGCTGGTTTCCCCAGAGAGCCCCAGCTGAGCCAGCTTCACAGCCCCAGAAAAATAGTTTTTCAGTGCAAAGTGATTTTTTTCTGATGTGATTTCCTCCTCCCCCCCCCCCCCCACTTTCATCAGCAAGACAAATGCAGCCTTTCTGCCAGCTCCAGCAGGGACCCTTGGCTGGGATGGGCACAGACCAGCTCAAGAGTCCAGACTGGTCCTTGCTGAGCAGCCTCTTTTGAAGCGCGGGGATTGATTCTGATCTTGGTTTTGGGGCCTGCCCAGAGCTGGCTCAGAGGATACCCACCAATAGCCCTGTTGCCCACCCTGGATGCAGCTGCACAGTGGTAGCAAGCATGCCCAGCCAGCACTGTGCCATCTGGGCAGAGTGGAGAGGTCCCCATCAGGGACATGGCTGCTGCATCTCCATGGCACAGAGCTCTCTGCCCAGCAGGGCTCGGGAGCCACGGGAGAGCCCATTCCCCATCCTGCTCTGGGGCAAGGGACACCTCCTCTGCCATCCCCTGCCTCTAGGGGACAGTATGTCTCGAGGTCCCAGCCTGCATCCACATTGTCCCCCAGACCTCCGGGCAACCCGGGTACAAGCAAAGGGCCTCCACCAAGGTGGTGGATGGAGCAGAGCAGGGCTGCAGCCCTGCTGCCATGAGCCCAATGGGGGGCCCACAGCCCAGGCCTCCCCCAGCAGCACCACAGGGACACTCCCCCCAGCAAACCAGGGGGAAACTGGGCTGGTAGCCCCAGGCCAGGTAGACCCAGCTTTGCCTTGAGGCACCCCCGGAAGGGAAGGCCCTCCCCCCCCGCCCCACCCTGCTCTCAC